GGGCCGCGTGACCTGCGCAGGAGCAGCTCGAGGAGTACCGGAGCGGCTGCGAGCTGGAGGAGGGCTGGGTGCTGGTGTGCAAGCACGCCGAGGGAGGCGACAGGCTGGTCCCCGTGGAGTCCACCGAGAGGATCCAGCGGCAGCAGCAGCTCTTCGGCGTCGACTACAAGCCCGTGATCAGGTAGCGTGGTCGTCCCCGCAGGGCGTCACGCGCGTCCGCGCAGCCGGGCTCCTCCTGTGCAGGATGGGGCAGCATCCAGACCCTGACATGGAGCAGAAGCCGGGGTTTTGCTGCCCACAGTGAGGAGCCGGAGACCTGCACATTAAACCTAGGTCCTTGGCTGTGATGTTCTGTATATGCATATGATCTATATGACTTATGCGCTCAAGTTTTTGTACTGCTGTCCCACCTCTGGACTGAGCCTCCCATCTCTCAGCATCTCCCTGTCCCTGGGCATGTGCTTAGGACAGGCCAGCTTTGCCTGAGCTGTCACCAGTAGATAATTCGCTGAGAGATCTTTAGTCTGGACTTTTCCCCATGATCCATACGTGAATCCTGCTCTTTTTAGGTGCATTGTGACACAGCTACGGTAATGGCAGAAGTGGGAGAGCTAGTCCTTGTTTAAAAAGATCAAAAATCCTGTTTCTGCTGTTTCTTCAGCCTGACCTCCAACCCTCCAGAGCACAAGAACGCCTGTGTTGCGTAGGGCCAAAGGTCCATCTGACAAAATATCCCCCAACAGTGTCGAAAAGACAGCAGCTGTGATAATACCTTCCCCCAGTCAGCTCCATGGCCTCCAGCGGTTCCTTGGTCAGGAACTTGCAGTGCCAGAAGTGTTTCTGTACGTCTAGCAACTCTAGTGTTTTTTTATTTCTCTATGAGCTTTTGTGATGTCTCCTTGAATCCATCTTTAGCAGCTGCAGCATCTTGTGGAGAGAATTTCCACAGATTAATCACATATAGGATGTAGAACCATCTTCCTCGCTGTGTTTGTGCTCTGAGCCTGTGCTCGTTGTTTGACATCCCTTTCTCCTTACATATGAGCCCAGCAAGGTTCTTGTTGGCCCGTGCCCGGCTGCTTGTGCTTTTTGGTGTCCTCCCCCTCAGCCATTTCTGTTCTGGACTGAAGAGTCCCAGTCCACTGGGCCATTTCATATATGAAAGCGAGGCAATAAGGAACCCATATAGCTGGGTATGGCTTGGAAGAATTAGAGATAATCTGGAAGAAAAGGGCAGCCATGAGGCTTGAGGTGGTGAAAGATGCAGCGTGATGGGGGATTAAACCCCTGTCACCTTCTCCTAGCCGCTCTTTGACTGCTGGCTCCTCCTTTCTGTGCATTTCCCTCACTTACTCCTTTTCTGGGTTGTTTCAGGTGGGAGCAGGTGGTGGATCTGACATACTCCCTGCGCCTTGGAGCAAAACCCAAGCCCATGGAGCAGGATGAGGCTGCAGTGGAGAGGCTTCGGTGCGAGCAGGTTCCCCCTGTGCGTTTCGGCTGCGGGTGGGAGCTAGTTGCTGTCTCCCCTGCTGTTCAGACAGCCGCCTCCAGACGGGGTGGAGGGGGCATGTGGGAGCTGGGAAGGATGGTTCTGCTCAGCACAAACAGCCTTGTCCTAGATAAGCCTGCACAAAGCCCAAATCAGCATGAGATCAAAGCAATCAGGGCATAGACTCACCTTCCCTGATGCGTTAACCCAGCAGGTTAGCACAGCCTTGCTGTTCCTGCCCCTTCAGGCCCTTTAACCTCCTTGCTCTCATAGGTATGTGCCCCCAACATGGACTTACGAGTGTGATGAAGACCTAGTGCATTTCTTATATGATCACATTGGGAAGGAGGATGAGAACTTGGGCAGCGTCAAGCAGTATGTGGACAGCATCGACGTCTCATCCTACACGGTGAGTAGCGGGTGAGGTGGGTGCCGGGCTGCGTGCGGTGCCCTGGATGGTGCCGTGTGTGCTGCGCCGTTCTGCGCTGCTCTGCGCCTCGGAGGGCTGTGGAGTGAAGGGCTCCGAGGGGAGTGCTGTGCAGGGTGTTGTGTGGGAGGAGTGCACATGCTGCTGTCTGAGAAGCAGCTGCTGCTGGGAGCTGCTGAGCTGGTTTTAGGGAGTGTTTGACATGCCCTGCTGTGTGCCTGGACCCAGAGCACCCTGGGGTCTGGCCCAGTGTCCTTGAGTGGGAACCTCTGACTTCCCACAGCCCAGCAAATGGAGCTGGGCTATTTGGAGCCCTCTCTGGCTCTGAGACTTATGCTGAGAGCAGCTTTTAAAGGACAAGTGAATCCTGCTGTGATCTGATCTTTGTTTCATTCACACCCTCTTCCAGGAGGACTTCAACGTGTCGTGTCTGACCGACAGCCACGCAGACACCTACTGGGAGAGCGACGGCTCCCAGGGCCAGCACTGGGTGCGACTCAACATGAAGAAAGGCACCATTGTCAAGTGAGGCATCGCTCCCCTTGCGTGCTGGTTTGTGGTTGGGGTGGGCCCCACGGCTCTCCGTCTCTATGCACGGCCATCGTGGCCCTGATTTGCTCTGGCCTCTCTGCTCCTTGGCTCCCACCCTGGGTCTGGGCTTGAGAGGCCCCTAGCCAGCATCATACGGGTGTGGACAGGCCATGAGGGAAGCAGCAATGGGTGCTCACATGCAGGGTGTATCTTCCCTAATTTCATGGTTCCCATTGCAGGAAGCTTCTGCTGACAGTGGATACCACCGATGAGAACTTCATGCCCAAGCGGGTTGCAGTGTATGGCGGTGAGGGGGACAACCTGAAGAAACTGAATGATGTCGGCATTGATGAGTGAGTGGCAGGGGGCAGAGAGCAGTGTGGTCATTGTAGGGACCAGCGTGTCCTGGAAGCCCTTACCTTGGGCAGTTACGTCCTCACCAGTCTGGCCTAAAAGGCACAGGACCTTGGGAGAGATGTTCAGGACTCTCCTGACCCAGATTTGCAGCCATCATCTGTGCCTGTTTCCCAGAGCCGTCCTGGAATGATGCAGTCTTAGATGCAGACCTTCTGCATGCCCTTTCCTGCCCAGGTGAGGTGCTGGGCAAACAGGCTGTGGATGCACTAAAGTCTGAGGGATGTTGGCAAACCCCGTGCCCAACTCCTGCAGGCCAGCTGAAGGGCCTTGCTGTGCCTGTAGTTAGCAGGGAAGCATTGGTGCAGCCCAGTAGCTGCTGGATTAATTTGGGGAGCCATGTTTGTCCTGTAGGACAAGTCAGGAATGGGTTGCCTAGACGTGAGGCAGCAGGAGGCTGCGAGTTTCACATTGGGCATGTTGCAGGGCTGATGGAACCGTGAGGCTGGGGCTGGGTTCCAGTCACAATTTGCCATTTCAGAGGTCGAACCGTCTTTCCCAATAAGCTGTCAGGCGGATTTTGGTAGGATGGGCAAGGGAGCATCTCTGCAGCCCCTGTCTGTGCTGTGTTTGCAGGAGCTACATTGGAGATGTGTGTGTCCTTGAGGACATGACGATGCACCTGCCTGTCATCGAGATCCGCATTGTGGAGTGCAGAGGTAGGCCTGGGTGTTATGGCTGCATCTGTAACGTGTCCTGTAAGGTGCTGTGTGTTTAGGGTTGGTCTCTGAGGCTCACACTCTTGGCCTCACTGGTGTTCCAGCTGGGATGCAGAAGATCTATGGGAAACTCTAGAGGGGCCTGGATGGCCAGCACGCTGACAGGAAGCTAGACTCGGTGACTCTGTTCTGCCTGGTTCTGTGCTCTGTCCCTGGCTGGAAGTTGGCTTTTCACTGTTTCCCTGAGTTTCTCAGGTGTTGACTAAGCCCCAGGAGGAGAACTGTGAACACCATTGCTCAGGAGCTCTGCAGTCCAGCTATGCAGGGAGCAAAGCCAGCATGAGGCTGGGAAGGTCTTGTCCTTGCATCTCTGCCAGCCAAGGCTTTTAGCTCGCTGGTGGGGATGTGCAGTGCCCTCACTGCAGGGCTCGCTTTCTCCTGCCCTTAGCATATCATTCTTGCTCTTCCTTGGCAGATGATGGGATTGACGTTCGACTCCGAGGGATCAAAATCAAATCCTCTCGACAGCGAGACTTGGGGCTCAGTGCCGACATGTTCCAGCTGGCGAATTTAGTGCGTTACCCCCGCCTGGAGGGCACAGACCCCGACCTGCTCTACCGGCGGGCCGTGCTCATTCAGAGGTGCGTTGGGGAAGGAGCTGGTAGGGTCATGGTGTTGCCTGCACGCCTCCTTGCGGGAAGGGCATCCTGGACCCCTGAGGAAATGGCAGATGCATATGGGGACAAAGTGGGAGCCCAGAATTAGCTTCCTATGCTTTAAGTGTGGGCTTACAGCTTGAATTTTGTATGTTGTGAGTACAGTACAGCCGTGCTGTGCATGGGGCAGGCATGCACAGAGTGCTTTGTGAGCTTGTATGATCCCAGGAAACGGGCACTTAGGGCAAAGGTTCTGTGATTTAAGTCTTCGTTGGGTTTTGTTCAGATGAGTTGCTGCTTTTCTGCCTCTAACTGGAATCTCTTGGGCTGGAATACGTTTTTTCAGATTCCTGGCCCTCATATGTGTCACAGCATCTTCTTTGTGATCTAGGTTCATTAAGCTCCTGGACAGTGTCCTGCATCACCTGGTGCCAGCCTGGGACCACACTGTCGGCACGTTCAGCAAGCTCAAGGTGGGAGATTTCTGCCCAGCTCTGGCAGGGTGACTTCAGCTGGGCTGTGGCAAGGGAAACAGTCACTGCCTTCTAAAACAACTCCAGAGACGTATCTTGGAGAGCGTAATTCCTTAAAGCTATCAAAGACAATGATCTTGGAGATTAGTTTCCTGTTAAAATGCTGGTGTGCAAATATTTAGATATAGGGTTGCAAGCAGAATCAAACTAGAACTCCGGGGTGAGCGGGTTTAACCCATGAAAGGATTCAGACTAGCTGCACTGGGTGTGATCTGAGCACATGTTTGCCCTGAGATCTCAGCCCAGGGCTCTCTAAGTTAGTTCCAGAACTCCCTGCTGGCAGTTCTGAGCTGGCCATGACCAATTGACAAGGCTTTTTACTAATAAGTACTTTCTGGCTTTAAGCTTTTGATTTGCATTTTTTCTCATGAGAGGTGGCTCATCCTTCCAGTGTGTGTGTGTGTTTGTTTTGCTTCAGAACTTCTCCCAGAATTTGTGGGCTGAGCATTTGCAGGCTTTTCCCCTTTTGTGCACTTCCAGACTTGGTGTCAGAGAGCATTGTAATTCCCACGATAACTTAGTGTAAAACTCAAAGCATTTGAGGATTTTTATTTTTCACAGCTTGATTTGCTTACAAATAGGAGGGCTAATAAGATCTGTGGTCTGGCAAGAGGGAGGGTAAAGGAGAGTCTGAGTGATGCCAGGGAGTTGGATGAGGTCTGACGAAGAGAGGGTCAGGCTGGACATCTCTCTTCCATGACATCTCTCTCAAACCCGAAGACAAAGTCTCTGTGAGGCAGTGGAGAGGTGGAACAAAAGTTGTTCAGGAGAACATGGTTTTATGTAGGTTGCAGCAGCTCTGGGTTGGGGGGAGGTCTGGCAGTTCAGAGCTATCGGTGGGAAGCAGCTGAGCTGCCTTGGGCACCGCTGGGCACATGTGACATCTTGCCCATGTCCATTGGCAGCATATCAAGCAGTTCCTGCTGCTGTCCAAGCGGCGCACGGCTCTCATCACCCAGTGTCTGAAGGACTCGGAGACCAGCAAGCCCAACTTCATGCCCCGGCTCTATATTAACCGGCGCCTGGCCATGGAGCACCGAGACAACCCTGCTCTGGACCCCAGCTGTAAGAATGCTGTCTTCACCCAGGTACTGCCCCTCCTGAGTGCAGGAAGGGGTCCCACTGTTATGGGAAGAGTGGGGTTTTCTGAAACCAAAAGGAACTGGCGTGGGGTGGATGGAGGGAGCTGAATGGGAGCTGGAGTTACCCAGTACCTCTTTATATGACTCCTAAGCTCTCTAGATATGTGTGCTGATCATGGTCCCTTATCCAGGAATGGTGCTAAATACTGTAAATAATAATACTAAATGATAAATAACACTGAATATTGTAAGTAAAATATGTAGCTCATCTTTTAAAGTCTCATCCTGACTTGACTCGAGTAGAGATTGATAGAGAGGCAGAGTATCCCTAGGACAGGATGCTAGGAGGAATTTAGGAGATCTGAGTTGAAGTCTGTCCTAGACAGTAACACACCATGGAGCTGGACTCTCTCCCTGGTGTGTTACTGATGCAGAGGATAACAATGTTGTACTAAAAAGAGCAGCAAACTTTCCCTGTGGCCCTTTGGGAGTGACCTGGCCTTCTAGACTGAGGTGCCAACCTTGATCTTCTCTCCTACAGGTGTATGAAGGCCTGAAACCCTCTGACAAGTTTGAAAAGCCCTTAGATTATAGGTAAGTGGTGCCTGAGGGAGGGAGAGCGTCATGCACTGCTGGGAGCTCTGCCCGTTGACACAGAAGGGTTGCCTGGGCAGGATACAGTTCCACAGGGTATCGGGGACAATTCCCAAGGCGTTGCCTCCCCACTGAGGATGCAGTTGGCTCTGGAGAACTTATGTCTTGCCCTATCTCAGGCCCTGGCTGGTCTCCTCTAGCCCCTGGTGCCCCAGCTGTCCTTGCTGCCTCCCCAGTCTCTCCTCAGCCCCGGGTGCTCCGAGCACCTGGGGTGTAAGCAGTGGCTCAGGCTGTGCTTGGTTCCCTACAGGTGGCCGCTGCGTTATGACCAGTGGTGGGAATGCAAATTCATCGCAGAGGGCATCATCGACCAAGGTAGGGCCTGTGTGGGGCCAGGCCTCTCTGTGGGGCAGAGTGGGGAGTTAGTTGAAGGGGGCACCACGTTGCTGCCCTGGCTCATGCTTGCCTCCTGTATTGCTGCCTCTGGATGGGGGGAGAGGGAAGGCAGGTCACCATGTCCTGGTAAGGATGTACATTGCCCCCCCAGCAGCACTGACACTGCCAAATGTGGCTGCCCCCCACAGGCCAGGCAGGGTGGGTTTTCCTGTCTTATTTCCTCTGGTACCACAAGACACTGAGAGGAGCTCAGTGGTGTCAGGTTTGACCAGCGTTCCTGGTCTGTGCTGCATATTGAGCACATACAGAGTTTGCATCACTAAAAATGTGGGTCTTTTTGGGTTGCAGGTGGCGGTTTTCGGGACAGCTTGGCGGACATGTCAGAGGAGCTGTGTCCTAGCTCTGCGGACACCCCCGTGCCCCTGCCCTTCTTCGTGCGCACGTCCAACCAGGTGCTGTGGGTCGGGATGCCTGGGGCGGATCTTTCCGTGCCTAGTGATGCAGTGTTGTCCTGTCCCCCTGCATGTCTGGAATGTACCTGCCTCTGCTGGTCCAAAATTCTCCTAGCGAAAGGGTTTGGCTGAGCCACCTAACAGGCTTTGGAGATCGTTTTGCTGCATCCAGTTTTAGGATACAGTGGCAAGTGCCTGGATTATTGTCTCTCAATAGGAGCAATACTAGGGAAGACCTTTTTAGGCCTGTTCTGTTGTGGGAAGTGCCCAAAGTCACTGCAGGAGCTGAGTCTGTGGTGCATCATGCTGGACTGAGAATATGACTTGGAATTTTACTCTCTCTTGTAGGGTAACAGCACTGGAGAAGCCAGGGACATGTATGTGCCCAATCCCTCCTGCAAAGACTTCCCAAAATATGAGTGGATTGGGCAGATCATGGGAGCAGCTCTGAGAGGCAAGGAGTTTCTGGTGAGCTTTCAGCCTTCTCTCTGCATGGAGGTTTATCCCAAAGGGAATCAGTAGCCCTCTTCTGCAGCCCATCCAGCAGCTCTTCACCATGCAGGCCTGAGGGCATGGGGAAAGCAGAGAAGCTCCTATGTTTCCACCTATTCCAGCTCTGTGTCTCATCTGCACTTTTGTGCCCCATCTTCACCTCTGGAAATATATCTTCTCGCACAGTAAAATATTTTTTCTCTTTCAGGTCCTGGCTCTTCCTGGCTTTGTATGGAAGCAGTTAACAGGGGAGGAAGTCAGCTGGAGCAAAGACTTTCCTGCTGTGGACTCTGTGCTGGTGAGAGGGGCTGAAAGGCAGTGCCTATTGTGTTGCTTCTGTCACCCCAGCAAGGGGGTGGTTTGTGTCCCTGTCACCATGTTGTATTTGACTCTTATGATGTGTCAGAGAAACATGCACAAAAAGAGTGCTCTTAGCACTCGTGCAGCCCACAGCTGATAGGGAGATGTAACCCTGCCACCTCCTGCCCTCAGCATGTAACACCCCAGGGTCCACCAAAAAGCAAGTACAGATCCAGGCAGTGTATCCCATGATGTACTGCTAACCCAGTCACTCCTGCCCTTACCAGAGAAGGAAGGAGATGGGGGCTCAGGCACATGGCTGCTTGAGGGCCTCTCCCTAATACACACTCTTCTGGGGGCTGAGCAGGTGAAGCTGCTGGAGGTGATGGAAGTCATGGACAAAGACACATTTGAGTTCAAGTTCGGGAATGAGCTGACCTACACAACGGTGCTGAGCGACCAGCGCATGGTGGAGCTGATCCCCAACGGCAGCAGCACCGTGGTGCGCTACGAGGACCGCAAGGAGTTCATCCGCCTGGTGCAGAAGGCCCGGCTGGAGGAGAGCAAGGAGCAGGTAATGCTGCGCAGAGCATCAGTGGCTGAGTTCACAGGCAGCCCCTTGAGACATCCCTACTATTCCACATCTGTTTAAATGAATCGCATGTGGGGTCCCTATGCTCAGTAGTGCAGCAGTAACCAGCCATTTTGGGTGGGATCCTGGAGTTCCAGGGTTTGCTGAAAGGCAAGTGGCTCGTAGCAGTGTGGGAGATATAGGGCTTTTATTTTCAGACCTGACATTCTTGAATTAATTCATATGCTTCTCTGTGGGACCCTGTTCTCCTTTCCATGTTCCTTGGAGTGTTTTTTGAGCAATTGCACGGCTTCAATCCAGTGCAGTCCCTGGAATCTACTGTGAGCCAGGGAAACAGGCAGGACATGCCACTCAGTTGCCCCATCTTCTTTTCAGATCATGGCCATGCAGGCTGGGCTGCTGAAGGTGGTACCCCAAGCTGTTCTTGACCTTCTCACCTGGCAGGAGCTGGAAAAGAAAGTCTGTGGAGACCCTGAAGTCACAGTTGATGCCTTGAAGAAGCTCAGTAAGTGAAGGACTCTACCAAAACTAGTTTCCCTGAAGGAGAGATGGTGGTCTTCTCTGCCATTTGGGACAGAGAGAGGCACAGGAAACAGATGCATTATCCTTTATTTCAGTGAAGAATTGGCCTGCCTATTTCTTGCCCTTAGCTGAGTGCTGGTAGGGTCAGCGGAGCCGCTCGCCTCCGTGCAGGGCTTCAGCAGAGAGGCTGGATTGTGCCTGTGTTCCCAGTGCGTGAGCTTCTCTGGAGCCAAGATCTGGATCTGGAGGAGTTTTCTGAGGACAACCTGAGTGCGTGTGTCCCCACATCCCGGGTCCGTGTGCTGACACCCTGCAGACACCTAGAAGTCTCTTCGTGTGTTAGCAGAGGGCCTGTGGGCAAACAGGGGAGTCCTGCTGTAGTTCTTCAAGGGAGAGGCTCTAGCAACTCCTTTTCTGTATCTTTCCTTCCAGCACGATTTGAGGACTTTGAGCCATTGGATACTCGGGTTCAGTACTTCTGGGAAGCACTCAACAACTTTACCAATGGTGAGTGATTTGCTTGCCCCTACATGTCATCTTGTGCCATAACAGCCCCTGGGTGCTCTCTGCAACCTGGGAGAGGAGTCACTGCCTGGGGAGCAGATGGCAGCTGAGCAGAGCAACTCCTTGCCAGCGCTGGGGACACCTGGACGTGGCTGAACGTCTCTCCCATATCCCTGGGATCAGCTGTTGTCTTTGCCTTCTCTTCACAGAGGACCGCAGCCGCTTCCTCAGGTTTGTCACTGGCAGAAGCCGCCTTCCAGCACGGATCTACATCTATCCAGACAAGCTGGGGTGAGTCTGTCCCTCTCGAAGTCACAAGGCTGACAGAAACCACACTGAAGGGGATCTGTGGGTCTCCTCTGCCTTATTGGCCTGCATTGGGTCTGAGCACTTTGTTACCTTCTTCCCAAGCTCTGAGACAACAGATGCATTGCCAGAGTCTTCCACCTGCTCCAGCACCCTCTTCTTGCCCAACTATGCCACGTAAGTTGTATTGCTGCCTGTATGTGGTAGGCTGGGCAGCTGGGTTCTCCTCCCAGCCTTGATGCTGATCCATAGGATCCTGTCACTTTGCCACACTTAAGCTGCCCTGACTGTACTATGCAGCTGCTATGATTCCCTCCATGTGGGGTGGTTGAGGCCCAGCCTCCAACTCAAAAAAGCATTTTGTCATCTCAGCTGACAGATACAGCAATGGCAACTCCTCCTCGTGTTTTTTTCCCCCCTCCTGTCATCCCTAGAGCCAAAGTGTGTGAAGAGAAGTTACGCTATGCAGCCTATAATTGCGTGGCCATCGACACAGATATGAGTCCATGGGAAGAGTGATGTTGTAACCGGACCATCAGCACGGACAATCGTTCAACCAAACCATGCAAATGGGAAGACCCCCTTTCATCCCTAGGATGTGTATATATAATAAATGTGTAGGTGTGGAGCCTGGCTCCCTGCAGTGGTAATCAGCACTGCTTTGGGCATGGAGGTTTGGGACTTTGGCAGGGTAGGAGCTAGCTCAGAGCATAAATGTGATTGCAGGAATGAAACCCTGTCCCCAGCCATGATACATCAGAAAGATCTGATAGGTTTTGATAATTATAATGAGTTTCTTCTCCAAATGGTCCTGCTGCAGCCCAGAGTTGATTCCCACCCTTCCAAGGCAGTGCTCTACCCCAGGCAGAGGTGGGGTAGGGCTGCAAAGCTGCGTGGCAGGTTATGGTACAGGATGGAGAACCCTGTGGGATGCTGCTGTGACTGTGGGGGTGTTCAGAGATGCTTCCTGTTTCCCAGCCTGAGTATCCTGGCCACATTCCCTTGGAATGAGACACAAGAAGAAATGAGATCATTTATCTAGGTTTTAGGAGAAAAGGGGCAGACTGGTGACAGGCGCTGCAGGGGTGCCTGTGGCCACCAGGTGTCATGACAGATCTGCATGCCAAGGCACAGCAGGACCGGGGATGCTGTCCAGGCAGGGCTGCTTTATGTCCCACCAGTTCCTGGCTCCTGTGACCACCTGTGCTTGTCTGCACCACAGGAGATGGAAACTGTCTGCTTCCCTTCTGCTCTGTATCTCCCAGGGAATGCCGCAGTGCAGGCTGGTGGCTGAGCAGCCGTTCTCCCAGGCCCTTCAAGTCTTGGTTTTCCTGTTAGAATTCTTGCAGAGATGTCTCCCAGAGAGCAGGGGTTAGAGCAGCAGCAAACAGGGGAGTTTCAGTCTCTGTTCCCCTCTGCCATGAGCAGGGAGGTGGATGCCCACATTGCAGCAGGTCAGTCCTCCCACCAGGGCAGCAGCAGGACTGGAGATAGCACTTGGTGGAGTTCAAGTGCAGGACATGCTAGTAGGTCAGCGTGCGATGGAGGTGACGGAAGCTTTACAAACTCAAGACCAAACAACATGTTCGTTCACCTTCCCAGCCGTGAGCCGCCCAGCGTCAGTTTGCTTTTATTCCCCCTCCCACAGCTCTGGGGTCAGTCTGTCGTCTGGCTGGGCCACCTTTAGTAGAGAGTCACTGAGCCACTATTGCTAGAGTGGGGCTGAGAGGTAGCACTTATCCTGTTGTCTCACACCTCTTGCCTTTCCTCCCTGGAGAAACATGTTATCCAGAAACTGCTTCCAGTCCTAAATGAAGTTTGTCCCTTTACCCGTTTCCTTTGAAACTGCTGTATTCCCAGAGTTGCTGAGAGGAACTGTACTGAAAGGACTGTAGGATCAGGAGAGAATATATGCTGGGGTCTCCCATATCACAGCGAGCAGGGACATTGTTTCTGGGAGCTCTTGCCTGCAGCAAGTCTGCCACACTCAGCTTGATGGGTATGAAGTCCCATCTGCTGCTGGGGTATTTTTGGAGCGTGCTGGGTTATTTCAGAATTGGGCTCTGCAACACGGGGTCTGATTTCAATATCCCGTGAGGACAAGAGCAGGGCAGTGATACCATTCCACTACGGAGGCTGAGTCATTTCCAGATGGTTTGTTTTAAATGGGCAGGAGTGAGCTGGTGAAAGGGCCTTGATCCTCTGGCTTAGGAGGACCTTGCTTAGGAATGTCGGTGAAGGAGCTTTTCTCTTCAGAATAAGCTGGGGAGCCCAGAAAACAGCAGGGTGAGATGGGATTTGAAATGGGCTTGTACATCCTTTCCGAGCACTGATATTTGGGTGGAATTGGGCGTTTTCCAACCTTGTCTGTTTCTAAGATGTGTTGTCTATTTACTGAGCAGAACTAGAAGTAGCAAGAAAATAACGGACTGCTCTGATTTTTCTATTGCATTCAATAGGGCTCTTAGCACAAAGGTCATCAAAGCCACAGATGTGCTCTGTGGCTGGGCAGCGGGTGGCTACCTGGCTACGAGGGGTTGATAGCACTGCCAGCTTGACGGGTTCCCCGGGGTGATGTCCAGGCTGAGGAGAGGCGCTGGTGGCAGCGGGAGGTCGCCCTGGTGGCATCTCTGGAGCAGGGCTGCTGTGGCTGTGCAGTGATGGGTGGCAGCCTTAACCCAGAAGCGTTGGGGCATCTTCATCTTTGGAGATGCTCAAATCTTGTCTACCCGTAGCCCTGAGCAACCTGGTCTGATTCCCTGCCAGCATCACCTCTGGGTCCTTCCAACCTGAAGTACTTTATGACTGTTACTACTCTGTTTTCCCCCATTTGTCCTTTCCTGTTCTTCCTCTTAGTAAGGGCTTTTAGCCCCCTATCTTCACCAACCATTAGATTTATTTTCTGCCATTGGGAAAACACAACTCTGCAAGCTTCCTAGATGGAGTGCCAAGGCTCTGGGGAATGGCCCTAGCTGGTAATGGGGATTACTTTTTCTTTTTAAAAGCACTAGAAGTTACAGGAACCTGGGCCAAGCAGGAGGGTTGCATCTGGAAACTCATGCAGGACACCCTGGGGTTTACTCCTCACAAGCATGTTGAGAAAAGCATTGGTTTATCCTATAGTTTGGGACACTGCATTGTGGCTGCCATAGTGCTGCGTGGGGACGTAGAGACCTGTGAAAGCCCTTCCAAATAACAGGACATGCCGGTCACTACAGTGAGGTCCCAGCTGCGGTCACTGAGAGCTCAGAGGGCGTCTGGGCAAGTGCGGCTGTCGCTGAGCAAGGCCTCGAAACAGCCCTCAGGTGACACTGTTAGTTTGCTGCGCGGAGGTGAGCTGGGGACAGGGAGCGGGTAGCCTGCCTGGATTTCCTCCGTGCAATCCCATATCTCATATGTGGTGATTTATAGCCAAGTGCAAACTGAACTTCTGCTGTGACAGCACGACACGTTGTGGGAAAGGTCAGCCTGGCTCAGCTCCAGCGATCTCAGGAGACAAGTGTAGGTGCCACTGCAGGGCTGCGGCGTGTTCCTCCTCTGATCTCTAACGTGGGTGGTGGCTGTTTCCTACCGTGCCTCTTGTAACACAAGTTAAGGGTGATCGTCCTGCCTGGGAATTTTGCCATGCTGCTGCCCGGGATGGCAGAGCCAGGAGCCGGCGGCTGCGCTGCCCTGCTCTGTGGCCAAATCGCAGGTTCGTATGGGATCGATTTTCAAGAGAATGACACTCGAAAAAGATGCTCATGCCGATGTGCTGAGATGAGGCAGAGCTGCAAAGAAGATGTGTCCACGTGCAGGCAGAGCCGTCAGCTCCACGGGAAGACGGGGAGGGAGAAGGTTGGCACCGCTGGGGTGTAAGTGGCTGCGGGAGGAGCGGGGGACAGGACTAATGCTGTCACGGCTCAGTGTAGCTGCTCGCTGTACGTCTCCTGGTTTTCAGCTTGCTGAATTGTCATAGAATAGCTTCAGGTTATTAATACGCACATGTAGACTAGCTGCTCGTTATTCCACTAATTAATAATTATTAATTAACTAATAATTATTAATAGTTAATACCTTGGAGTATTAAAAGTTATAAATAGGATGACAGGATCTGAACATCCCTACCTCATGTAGGATCTAAAATAAAGTGAACTAGCTAATCTTGGTGTTTCTGATCTGTCTTTGCCTGGGGTAGCTGGGGATTCTTCTCGCTCCTGTCATGAGGCAGTGCCAGAGGCTGAGGGCACAAGAGGCAATTGGAGGTGAAGCAGTGGAAGTTGGCCACCGTGTTACACTTTGCCCCCAAAGTTTGTCACCAAGGTGGCGTGGGAAATTGATTGGTGCAGCCCTTGGTGTGATTTTGCAGCCAGATTTACAGAGTAAGAGGAGGGGGAGATGCGGGAAGAGGTTCCCCCACCCCTTTGAAGTACCACAGTCCAGGATTCCTTCCCTTGCTTTTATTTTTTTTCTTCCAGTGATCTTCCAGCATCTGTGTTACCGTAGAGCTATGAAGTATTTTGGGAGTTATGAAGTATTTTGGGAGTTACGAAGATTTGGGAAAAAAATTGCTGCCAATTTTTTAAGGGAATTGATTGATTTGCACCTGGTGAGCGGGAAGCAGGTCACCAGGACAGGCTTTTGCCTGTGACAGGGTCACTTGTTCTTACAGGGCTGTAGCTGCAGCTCTAGCCCCGTGATTAGCGCCTCAGGCTCCGCTTGTGAGGGCTGGGTTCCTGCCAGGAAGATGTGATCTTTCCACACCTCCAGGAGATGAACGGTAACCACCAGCCACTGACCTGCTCAGCCATCCCGAGGAATAAAAACAGAAAGAGAAGGTTGTGTGCGGAGCCTGGGCCGGGCCACCTGCTCTCCTCCCTGAGCTGCTGGGGTAGAAAGAGGCTCTTTTGCAGGCTGGGGCCACGCACTCGCAGCCCAGGCCGTGTCCCTGGCTGCCGCAGGGCCTCGCGAAGCTGCTCTTCCTGCTCTATCAACCCCGTACTTAATCGTAGCCCCTGTCCCTGGGCCATAAGCAGAGGTGCACAGGCCCCATGGCCATCGCTGGCAGCAGGAACAAGTGGCCAGCCCTGCTGCCTCGGTGGGAGAGACTCGGGAAGATCCTGCCCAACAGCCCCGCAGGGATGCGGCCTGGCTCCCCGCGTGCCACCCGCTCCCCTTGCGCCTTTGCAGCTAGGGATGGGCCTGGACTCTGCCCCGCCGCGGGCACAGGCAGGCGCCAGAGGGGTGCCCAGACCTTTGAGCTCTGCCCTGTTCGCTGCTGCTCCCGCCCTGCGCCTCCCTGCTCGACCCAGAGCAGCGCAGGGTGGAGCCGGGCCCGTCTCTGCCGCCGCGTCGCAACGCGATGTGACAGCCGCTGTGACATGACGCACCGCGGCCTTACAGCG